TAAAATCTTATATTAAAATAATTAAAAACAATATAAGAATATATTTTTAAAAATTATATATTTAAAACTTTTCTTTCAAGAAAATTTTTTTTAATTTAATTATAAAATATTATTATTCTAATAAAATATTATTAATAAAATTCACAATAAAAAATTAATCCATGTTATAAGTAACAATATATACAATAGGATGATAAGAGTAATAATATATAATCACAGCTTATTGTGTCGATGTTACTCAAGAGTCTTACTCTATGTGAGTTTATAGTGATCAGGGTTCAAGTGTTAAATGGCTAAGTAGTTTTAAATATAACTTTAGTGTCTTTTTTTGCATATTTTAATTAGAATCAAAATTTTATTTTCCTTAATATAAAAATCTGAAATAATCATCAACAAATAATATTTAAATATTTAATTCTTAATATTATAATTTTAACATATTATATACAAAATAATAGAATATAGAAAATAAATATATATAAAATATGTATAATAATTGTGAATATGTTACAAAATATGTTATAAAAAAAAAATAAAAAGAATTTAGACAAAAAAGATTTTTTGTATAATTTAAGGGCGAAAAGAATAATGGATTTGACGTGTTATATCATAACATGAAGCATGGTGCAGTTGCAAGTAAGGAGTTGGCTGAGTTTCTAAAAGAACGATCAACTATAGAAGAAAATAATTATAAGGTTCTAAGTAAACTTGCAAAACAAGCTGGCAGTAGCAGCAGTATACAAGGAACATTTGCACCTGTTTGGGCTGCTTTAAGAGGCGCAGCAGAAAAACTTGCTGGCTTACATTTGCAAATGGCCCAAAGGGTCACTGAACTAATAAAAGATGTATCAAAATATACAGATGAATTGCATAAGAAACATAAGGCTGTATGTAATTTTTCTTCATACTTTCATATGTTTTTGTATTTAGAAATAAGTCAAAATTAAAATAATTGTATATATAGAGTATGTTAAGTTTTTAAACATATTTAATAAATTAATATAAAATATATTGGTATATAAAAAAATTTTAAAAATAAAATTTTATTTATTTTAACAAAACTTTTTTGTATCCCAACAATATAAATATATTTTTTCTATGTTGCATTTTTTTGCAACTGTTTATCATATTATAATATGAATCATTTTGTATATACATATATATATTATAACTTATCAGTATCCGCCCATAGTCAGGTCATTAGGTTCTCTCAGACAGTAGTATGTGCAAAAATATAAGATAATATTTGCCAAATCAGACTGATAAGTAATTATTTCACTTAATTAATTAATTAACATGTTACTTTGTTGATTTCAATACTTGATTATATTTGAAAAAAAATAAGAATAATAATACTAAGAAATATAAAACAAAAAATATATAGGTAAAAGAAGAAGAATCATCCACCTTGGAAATTGTACAGAATATACAGAGTATCACTGTAACTTTACATAAAGCAAAAGATATGCGAACACAAAAAAGTCTGGAATTGGAAAAATTAAAGAAAGACAATGCCAGTCAAAAAGAATTAGAAAAAGCAGAAATTAAGTTTAAGAAAGCTCAGGATGATTATAAAATTTTGGTTGATAAATATATGATCATACGGAATGATTTTCAAACCAAAATGACTCAAGCATGCAGGGTATCTATCTTCTTACAATTTTATATGGTATTTTTTAGAAAATTATTTTAAGAAAAATATTTATAACGAATTTATTTGTTTCTTATTAAGCGATTCCAAGATGTAGAAGAGACACATTTAAAACATATGAAGGAATTTTTAAATATTTATGCAGATGTTTTACAATCAAATCATGAACAAGTTGGTCAAGTTCATATAGATTTTAAACGACAATGTTTGGATATGACAGTGGACAAACTTCTAGAACAATTTGTACAAAGCAAATCCACAGGTTTTGAAAAACCAGGTAAAAATTTTTATATCATAATATAAAACCTAGTATTTTATATATAATTTTTTCATAAATTAGGTACATTTGAATATGAAGAAATCATGACAAATTTAGGAGAAATGACCAGTCATTCTCAATTGGAAAGCAATATTGAAACATCTAAGGAAACATCAAAAGGAGCAAATGGAGAAACAGGCGTTGCGGGTAACACTCACAGTTCAAAAAACGATCGGGGATTAAAAGGGGAGGGTTATCAGGTGGATGAGGAAAAGGGGACGGTACAAGAAAAAGAAAATGAAAGACTGAATGAAAGGGATAGAGAACTGTCACATGTACAAGCCACCAAGGCTTCCCGCCGTACTACCTCGCTACTCAACCTGTTCATGTCCAACTCCCAGGGTAGGTTTTTAATGTTGAATAGAATTTACAAGATCTTATTCTTTTTTAATTGCAATAGTTTTTATCTACCTTGATGTAATGTAATTTTTACTATTATTACATATTTTTAGTATAAATTGATTAAAATCAAATATAAAACATATTGAAATTAATAAAATTGTTAAAGATAAGCTAAAATTTAAAATTTAATTTTTTAATTCATTATATCTTGGTAGATGTGTTGAACAGTTTTATTTATTTCATCAATATTATTTTATTCATATACATACACTTATTCAATTTATTTTTTAGCACTTAATCATAAATTTTGTTAATTTAGGCATATGCGAAACAACTTTATTGACTTATGCTTTTGTGGTTGTGTTACAATGCTTGTGCGTTATAATCTAACAATAGGTGGAGGATGACATTAAAAGTTATTGTGTATTCCAGAGGGTTTAGAAATATATTCTTTTTCTTTTTTCTTTCTTTTTTTTTTATATTATAAATATTAAATTTATGAAAAAGAATGTAATGAACATTTATTTCCATTTTAGTTATTAATTATATAATTTTAATATAATTTTCATTATATGATTATTAAACTATAATTATTAAACTTTAATTTACATGTGATGATAAAATGTTATATTTATGATTAATATCCCTCTGGAGTGCTATTTATGCCACTGAAAGTGCAAAACTATAAACAAATTTTAATAGATATAAGTATGAAAATAGCAAGATGAAGAAAAAAGGGCCATTGGAGTCACAGATAATTGAAAGATATAAGCAATGAGTGTTGTTTCAGACAAACAGAAGCAAGCAGGGTCTGGTTCGGCACCTGCAACTCCTCAGGGGAACAACCTGCCTCCTGCTGTTCCACCTCCCAGCATCTCCAGGAACCCTCTCAGAGGATCTAAATGTAACTGCTTACATTGTCATTACCTGTACCCTTACCATATCCATTACACATATTTCAAAGTATTAGATTGGTTATATGGTACTATTTCATATACACACACATACAAACAAAAAATTTATTTGAAAATGTTGCTTTTCTTTAGTAGTTAGTTTGCAATGTTTAAGGTGGGGGTATATGATTAGTAAAATTAATTAGTAAAAGCTTTCTATATAGTTTTTAAAATACTACATTTATAAAAAAAATTATATAAAAACTATAATAAAAATTTTGATATTTATTAAAATTAATACATTTCTGTTAACTTTTAATGAAATCATATTATAGTTTGCATTATTAGTAATAATATCTAATTGGTGGTCTTCTTACAAACATCATAAATATCTAATTTTTAAAATTATTAATCAATTTTCTTATAATTTTAATTTTATCTAAATGTTATTAATTATGATGAAAATATTTGTGTATTGAAATATTTATTGATTTTCTTTATCTAATTAAATAATATATATTAATATATCTAATACAATCAAATAACAATGATCCTTCTGCTCAAATTAAAAAAAATTAAAAAAAACATTTATGTATAATTTTAATGACCACCTTTAAGAAGGTACTCCTTTCACACACCTTTATCTTTATCTTGCTTTATTGGTTGCTCTTTATCTAATGGTATTTGCTAATAGCTTTGATACAGTTCTTTCCATATAATATTTTTTGTGGTCATACAGGATATATGGTTAAATAAAATCTCTGGTGACTTACAGTGGTAACGCGTATTATGGTTCCTCCACTCTGCACTCTTTTAGATCAGCAATGTACGTATACTAACATTGTTTAAGCACATTAAATTAATATTATTTGTATAGAATCATATCATAAAATGACTGATTAATTATAGTTAATTCACAGATAATTAGGAAAATACTTATTTAATATTGGCTTTGGAAGCACATTTAAAATATTTTTCAATTAGTTTTAAAAAGATTTATATTTATAGACACATTCTATATTAGAAGGAAAAAATATTTTTTCGTTCTTGTTTGATACTGGGATAAGCTTGCTTAGACAATAGGCTCTAGTTTTAGAATTGATAATCTAACTAAATAATTTAACATATTTTTCTATAAGATGTTACTTACATAAATTGTTTTTCTAACAATCTTTTATGTAAATTTATCAAGGGATTCTTCTATCAACACAATTCATTTTTAAATTTTTTTGCAATATATTTGCAATTTGTTATGTCTACTCTATACAAAAAAACATTGATTTAATTTAAAAGTTAAGAAAAATTGCATTTTGGAAAGTTTCTAAAATTTAAGCTACATAATATACGTATATATAGTTTACACAATAGTAGCGTTTTTTATATTGTCATATATATACATCAATAAAGTGATTTCTTTGTTTCCTTTTATAAAAACCATGAATAATTTCAATTTCAATCTTCGAACAAATACAATGCAATATAGTAGTTAATCATAAATTAATTTTTGAAACTTTCTGTTACTGTTATAATAAACACATATTCTCATAGAATTAATTAAATAAAGGGAGTTGGATTTGGATAAAGTTGAAATACAAATGTGGGGTTGGCTACTGACGGGGCCTCAGGTGAGCCATTCTTATGAGTCTGTTACTGCATGGCTCACTTGTAATTAGTATTTATTTTCCAAGTGCAGATATCTTTCATGATATAGCGTAATGTGATTCTGCAAGCAATTCTTTTTATTTATTAGTGTATATGTATTTTTATTAAATTTATTTATTTTAAAAGTTCTTTTTTGTATTACAATACATTTTTCCTTTCTTATATATTTTTTTATTTTTCCTTAATTTATAATAAATGTATGTAATGCTAAATTTAATAATATTAATTTTTAAAAGATTTAAAATTATTGTATCAAATTATTAAATTTTATTTTTAAGTTCTTATCACTTTATTAATAATTCTGAATGTCGATAGTTAATAGTCTTGCTTGCAGAACATATATTTATATTTATTTCTTAGAAAAATATATAAGAGATGCACATATGAAAAAGAATTGCGCAACTTTATTCTAAGAAATCATATCCTAACAGTAATATCGTATGATATATATATAATATATATATATATATGTATATAATTGTTAGAAAAACAATTTAAAATAAGAGATTGGATTTCTGCAGATCTATAGGATATGACGGTGATGGTATTATGGGTTTTCTTATGCCTCTGCTGATGTAATGTGCTACACTTTTTTGCTATCTTCTGTATTCCTTGTCTATCGTTTTTTTCTTATTTACGCAGGCATTAAAATTTTATTATTAATTTTAAAATATGCTGATATGTTTTTCTGTTCATATTTTTCAAAAATATTTTTAAGAAATAAAAATTAAAAAATTTAAAAAAAATTAAAAGTAAAAAATTAAATTCATTGAATCTACAATAAATCATAAATGATTGAATATTCGTTTGTAAAAAAATAATAAATAGTTATAATTGATACAGAAATTTATATCAGCAAATGAAAACAATATCCTAAAAAGAAAGCTCATAAACAGTGCATCTGCTATTTATTGATTTGACTTGGTGATTTTTATTTTGTTTGATTCATAAATATTTAATCACGTTGCGCTATGCCTTAAACACTTGGAAAGTAAATTGATTTCTATCAGTTGTTTAATTGCAGATTTTATATTAATTTCTTGATCGAAGATATATAACTTTTTTGACATCGCAAATGTAGTATCTTTCTGCTTCTTAGTTTTAGTTTATAGTTACTTTCTTTTATTCTTTGTTAATCAGAACAATATCATTTTAATTAAAATAATCAACAAGAAGATTATTTGATAAAAATTCTTCTCGTATATAATATAATTAAATTTATTTTATGTAAATATAATATTTAGTAATAATTAAGAAAATATTTATTTATTCATTTATTTATTTTTTATTTATCGAAAGACAAATTTCCATAATTTTTATGTGATAAAATATGTAATAAAATAGAATAATTTTTATCGATTTTCAGTATTAGCATAGTGATTAGAAATTAAAGATTATAGATCATATCATATCACATGTAATTATATAAGTATCTTTGAAATTGAATATTTAAATTTACTATGAAAAAGTGCTTTGTTTTCTATATACTGTATGTCCACGACCAACAGGGTTTCTTCGCAGCAGAAGAGAAAAAAGAAAAGAAAAGAAGGCAAAAAAGAAGAAGGATATTGTGGAAACAAGCAGCAACAAAGAAGAAAAGTCTGATCTGTCAGTATATGCGCATTCAGCAGAACTAGTGCACCAAAGATTGATTCCATGATCGAACTAAAAATTTATCATTGGAACAAACGAGAAAATAACTAATAAACAAATCAATTTTTCATGCAGCAGAAGTTTGATCATAGAATTAGTCTACATTTTTTTCTTTTTTGATTTTCTTTTTTAAATGTTGACATAATATATTTAAAGCACAATATTATAAAATAAAAAAAAAAATAATGCATAATTTTTAATAATTTATTTTTCGACACATAAAAAGAGAGAGAAAAGAAATATTATGCATATGTAATGCACTGGACCTGCTGGAATTTTTAGAAGTATATATCACTGAATTATTTTAATTCTATATAATAGGGAGGATAAGGATGACAGTAGAAAATCTGAAACACCAACACCGGAAGTAGACGAAGATGGTTTCTGTATTAGACCAAAAACAGAACCATGGGAGAATGAGAAAGGATTTTATTCCAGTTCAGATACCGATTCCGAGGATGACAGAGAACGAAAAATTCGAGTAGAAATAAAACCACTTAGCAATGGCGGAGCACCTATGAGCGCAAGTGTGGACGAGCTTAGGGCAACGGTGGAAAATTTATCTTTATCGCCTGCACCAACGGTATGTTTCTTTTTTCATTTCTTCAATTTTTTTTTTCAAAGATTTGTTTTGAAATAATATTATTTACGTAACAGGGACGCAGAGGTTCAAATACCGACTCAGATCATCATATGAAAAGGTCTCAGTCAGTGTCACAGCAATTAGGAGGTAAGCCAAGCTCGGATTTACTTGGCCTAAACTTGTTCAATCCTAGCAGTACACCATCGAGCGCCTCAACGCCGACTGGTAGTCATCCATATGCGCCATTGCAAAGTCCTCCGCCGCTGTCTTTGTCACCGACGCCTCAACCACAGCCGCCACAATCCGCACCACCTACACATCCTCACCCACGATTCCCTGGTAAGTTTGCGAAGTTGCTGTTCTCAGTTTATCGGAATGTTTTCTATATTTCATGAAAAAAATCACATCTATATCTGAATATATTTTACTTTAAATTATATAAAAAATTTAGAAATTTATAAGACTTTATTTTCTATAGATGGAGATTTATTTTCGGAAGTAGGAGACATTACTCCGGCTTTACCTCCAAAACAATCTGCTTCTTCTACTCCGACAGGATCTATTATTATTCCTAGACCACCATCCCGAAGAGGAGAAGGTCCTTCACCAAGAGGTAGAAATTCACCAGCGACTATATCCAGAGCTGATAGCGTAGCTAGTTTAGAGTTTCGTACAGCCGGCGTTGGAGTTGGTTCTTCCAGAGGTCCATCGCCACTCACAATAGGACTTGCAGACACTATTCCTTTAGCAGTCGCTTTCCATGAAATAGTACACTCTTACTTTAGAGGTACTGATGAAACACGATGTCAAGTGAAACTCAGTGGAGATATGATGTTATCATTTCCTGCCGGTATTGTCACTGTGTTGGCGAATAACCCTAATCCTGCAAAACTAACGTTTCGCGTACGCAACAGTAATAGATTGGAAAAATTGTTCCCTAATAATCAACTCGTCAGCATGTAAGTTATTAGAATTAGACCATTACTATTACTATTCAAGTCATTCGAAGATATTTAAATATTAATACAGGGATGCCACACAGACAACTGTTGACAGTACAATTTTTGAATTCAACATGAGTGCCTTAACTACATTGTTACGCAAACAGGCTGAACAAAATCCTTCGGCTTCATATTTTAATGTCGATATACTCAAATATCAAATCAAATGCAAGGAAGGCGCGGGTTCGTGTCCTTTCCAGTTAGTTGCCTATTGGAAATGTGAAACAACTCATACAGACCTTAAGGTATTTTATCTTGATATATTATATAATTTTATTAGATATAAATATATAGTATATAATGTGTAATGTAAATATTATAATTTTATTAAATAAATAACTCATGCTTGCCTTAGATTGATTATAAATATAATAGTCGAGCTATGGCTTCTCCAAGTCCATTATTAAATCTCCATGTGGCTGCACCCATAGATGGAGGTTTTAAATCATTAAACAGTAAACCTCAGGCACAATGGTTATCAGAAACAAATCGGATATTATGGAAGTTCACAGAATTATCACAGCATAGCGAAGGTAATGGTGTAGGTTCTTTGAAAGCACGAGTGGAACTAGGACATGGGCCAGGAAATCAAGGAACTATATTTACACAGTTTAATTGCGAAGGGACCACATTATCTGGAGTTGAGTTTGAACTTTTAGGCCCGGGATATAGATTAAGTTTAGTAAAACGTAGATTTGTATCTGGTAAGTGTTTTTATCTATTTATAGTCTTATCTATTTTTAATTCTTGTTTTTTTTTCTTTTTTCTTTCTTTTTTTATCTTTTTATAAAGTAGTATAAGAAAGTAATAATGTATTTATATTATAATAATTAACATTTTCAGGAAAGTATATTTGTGATGGAGATTCTGATTCACGAACTAGATACGCTGCTCCACCATCGAATGTGGATTGACGACTTCCAGAATGGGCGCCTCAATGGGAGAGTCTGCCCATTTAATATTGGTACTTGCTTGTTCATTCACTGCCCATACTACGATTATTGTTCAAACTCGAAAACTCAGCGTGGGAAAGCCTGTTGGATACCAAAGAATGTGTGCGATACAATAATAAGATTATATAATAGACGAATAATTTGTACAGAAGCCGTGATGCTGCGTAATTTAAATGTAGCAAAGTGTAAAGTTTATTCGCTTTATAAATCAAAACATAAAAAAGAGAAAAACAAAAGGAAAAATCTTGAATACGAAAAAACAGCAAATGAAGATCATATAAATTCATATCTTCATAAATCAAGATAAGTATGATATGATATATAATCTTAGGCGAAAAAAATACTTGAACAGAAACATAATGAAAAACATAGTTGGACTTCGTAAGTCACTCGCTACCTGATGAATGGCGTTTTATGTGTTTTATAACTTGTATATTTTTCAATTTTTCTAATATATTCTCGATTAGATTGTACTATTTTAGTAAAGTTTGTACGTGATGCATAAACGAGATGTAATTATGAAGACGATGACGATGATAATGACTGCAGAAAGCGTTTAAAACATCAAGGAGTAAGTAATTCTTTTTCGCAAAAGCCTTTGGTGTCCAGCATATTTTTCACCACGATATGTTCGCCATATTATTGTTTATATATGCATATATATGTATATATATATGTATGTATGTATGTATGTATATATGTACATACGTATGTATTCCTATATGTATGCGTATGTATATATATTTATATATGTACATACATATACACATACACATACACACACGCACACATATATATATATATATATAATCAAAGTACGTTATGACTTTTTTTACATTATAACTTACGTAACAGCATGAAAAAAACTCCAAAAAATATCATCAAACAGTACAATGTTCTTAATCTATTGTTATATTTTGCGTTAATTTTAATATAGTTATATATATTGCTATTGTATTGTTAAGAATTTTTAAAGAAAAAAATATGTAACAGTAACGCCAATTAACTTCGTGACTGTACATTAGCATTTATAATTTATATAATGATTTAATACTTGTTTTGTGAAATTTATAATACAGTTGTATTATGTATTTCAATTTGTTTTTCTTATGAAATTTTTGAAAGTATTGGTTACATATGCATAGATAAAAGAAGTTTAATTAATATTTCACAAAATGAAGTTATTCATTTTTGTCAATTGAATTGTTTATCATCCAATTATGTATCAACTTTGTAGATTATTTTTAGGAAGGAAAATGATAACGTAATTTTATTTTATTCTTGTACAGAAAAAACAATAAGGATGTTAAGAACAAAATATTCAATAGATGATAATTAATAAATATATTAAATGACATTTCATAATTAATAAAAGAAAAAAATACTTTATCGAAATATATAATAATGAAAATTATAATTTATAACAAATAAGAAAATTGCATGATTCTTGATTAATCTTTTAGATTTTATGAAATTTTGAAAAAATTTGAAAATAATTTTTTTCATAAATTTTTTTCATAAAAAGATAATTATTTTTATTTTCATGATCATAAAAATAATTTAGTATTTTCTTTTTTACGTTTTGAAGATTTTATATATTTATTATTTTAAAATTTTCGAATGTTATTAGCTTCAAAATGTTAACATATCTTTTCAGCACTTAATGATAATTGACTATATTTTATTGTCTTATTCTTTTTTTTCCTCTAATATTTTTTGTTTTGCGATACATTCACGAAGTAAATCGATCGTTATTAGAGACAAGCCATTTCTTTTAACAATCACATATACATACATAATCTTGTGTGTATATGTACATGTATATATAAAAATAATAAGTAATAAGTTTAAGAATAAGTCTGAAAAATCGAACTCGAATATTATATAGTCCAGCACACACGATGCTTCCTTTTGTGCAAATTTAGATATCGGCAACAAGTTAAAAAATTAAAGCCATGCATCTTCGTGCATAATTCAATTTGCGATTTAATTTTTTTTCTTTTTTTAAAGATTTGTTTTATAAAAATTTTAATATTTAATTTTCTTTTTAGACTTTACTGATATTTTAACAGAAATATTATATTTTAATAAATATATTATCCTTTTATTAATTTTTTTTAATATTAAATTTATATGAAATTTATTATGAAAAAAATCATAAGTTTAATTAATATACTCAAAGATTTAATTGTTCAATACTGATCTATACACGAGTTGCAATGATACTTGTTGCAAGGTATTTGTTACCTGGCTCTAAAAGTGCATTATGCTTTAAATTATGAAATAATTTGTAGAAAAATGTGAAATGTTGTGTTTGATTACCAAATGATAAGCACAACAAATTTTTTATAGTAATCATTCATTTAAAAGTATATAAAATGATTTTACATTTTAAGACCATTCAGCGTTTATTCGCGAAGCTCCATGTCTATTTTACGAATTTACATATTATTTTATTATTATAATAGCGGTTATTATTATTATTATTATTATTATCATCATCATTATCATTATTATTATTGTTATTATTATTATTATTATATACTCATATAAGAAAACAAAATGAAGGTTTACGAAGAGCAATACAAAAAATCATCTAAATAAGACGATAAATTTGGCGACCACTCCATTTAATATTGTTTATTTTTAATGAATAAGAATGTAAATATTTTTTCTTCTCTCATTAAATTATTATATTAATCTTATTTGTAATGCGTACAATTAAAAAATATTTTTAATTAAATATATTGATAATTTAAAAAATAAAATATCTATCTTTGGTATATGATTATCATGAAAATGTTAACAAAAATCAAATAAAATGAAAAAAAAGAGTATATGACTATTATGGAGTGGTTCCTATGAAAAATTGACTGAGCTCTTCTGTGATACCCAGATGTCACTATAATTTCATAATAAATATTTATAACAAAACATAATTAATGTTAATTATGATCGCGTTCACTTTCTTCCTGACTGAATTCCCGAACAAAGAACTGATCTTAAATGAAAGGTGGTTCAATCACTATTTTTAATCATCTTTCGATATCATTGCGCTGGAGTATACGTTTTTTCAATTCCTATGGATATAATTACGCAGAGATAAAACGTATGATTAGATTTTATGCGATTCGCTTTTTACGTATTATTATAATAACGATGACAAATACAAATATATCACAAACAGATTCTAATAAACAGAACTTCGTATTACATTACATATGCGTGCACACACGAATATATAAATATACAATACATTTTCAATACATACGCATATTTTTTATCCGTTTCGTAACGGAATTGATGCGATATATTTAAAAAAATAAAAGCAGTCGTGTGTACAGGACTTAAAGTCATGTATGAGAGAAAGGGAGTGTAAAAAAGAAATAAAAAAGAAAGAGAAAAGCATTAAAAAAAAAGAATTGCAATGCAATTGCATATACATAAGAAATTCTTATATATAGTATAAATATGAAGAATTAATACGATATTACACGATACATAGAGTGATTATGTAAGTCTGTTGACATGTAATGTCTATGTTCTAATAAAAATTAGGATATTTTATATATAAATAAATAAATAGTTGCCGCGACTACGAACATCCTGTATACATATAATATGTGTATATATATTTGTAATATATAAGTTATCGGTCTAATATGATTAATAGAGACGATTATATTTCGAAGAAGTTCGATAGAAAAGATAAATGAAACTTTGTACGCTTAAAATAAGAAAAAAGCAAAGAAAATCAAGTGATATGGGTGGAAAAAAACAATACAAAATGTATAAAAATAAAATATACCACCAGGAGGATTACATTAAGTTTTGCGTGTTGATTTCATCACAATTAGTACGAAATACTTTGTACAAATTTCTTGCAAATTCTACTATTCCTAGTAAAAAAATAAAATACACATATTTTATATATTTTATATAATATATATAATATAAAAATAATCTACAGTAAATTTATATAAGCAAATATATTTGTTTGAAGCAGTTAATTTTAAAAAAAATTAATTGTTTACAACTTATAAGATAAATAGTTATAATAATGCGATATCTGTTATAAGTACAGAAAAATTGAATTTACAGTTCGATATATGTATATTTATCAATGTTCATTGTTTATTAATACCTTCGCTACCATACAACGTATATACATATAAGATTAATATATTCGTGGGATATTTATGAAAGATCGATTTTAGAGATCAAAGTAAATATAAAAGTTAGTATTCAATGTAAAATAAAAACGACTTTATCTTCTATATTCCATCTCCGTTTAGCTTTATCTAACATAAATTTAAATTGTTTATAATTTAATGAATAATTATGTTTATTTTATCTTTAAAATAAACGATATCCAAAGATGTCCCATAAATATATTAACTTTTTGTATATGATATCATATCTTAATTCTTTTATATTGAATACTATTTATTAATATTTATAACAAATTTTTTGTATTCAGATAATTATGCATGATTACATTTACTCACTATATTTTTAATTTTTTTTAATTTTTTTCATATTGTGTAAAATTAATATAATCAAAATATTTTTTTACAGTGATAACGAATGCATTAATTATTAACAATACATTTTTTCAGGTCCCTAATTTAAATATCAGGCATAAAAATATATTATTCTTTAAATTGTTATTTTTTCATAGAAAAACTTCTAAAAATTATAATAAAATATTGTAGCTACCATCCAACTATTTAACTATATTTCTTTTATTAAAAATTTTTTAAAAAATATTTTAATAATTCATCATTATGAACATATTTAACGAGTGTATCTTCATATCTGAAAAACATATTTTTATTAAATTTTAAAAATCTAATCAATTTGATATTAAAAACATTCAATAAATTTCAATATTACTTACTTTAGAGGTATTTGAATGTCTTTTTCTTTAAAAGGACCAATTCGTTTAACTCTTTTTAAAATTGCCAAAGCTAATATCCTTTCATATTCCAAGTATATTTCATTTTGAGTGAACCATAATGCCAAAGCACATCTTTTACCTCGTGAAATAGCACGAACACCATGGAGATTTTCTTCACCGGCAGAAAATGCTACCATTCGTCCACAACGTGGCGAAACTATGTTATCCATTGCACGAATAGTGCGATCTTTAGCAAAAAAAAATTCTCCACCTTGGAAATCATCATTTAGATATAAAATCGCAGAATAATCTCTCCAAATGTAAGCTGGACTTTCACGAAGACAAGTATTATTACTATTTAAAAGACAATTGTCTGCGTGAACTTGATGACTCAAATCATCTCGATCTACTGGCGAATCTGAAAATGAAAAAAAATTTATTATTTTATTTTAAAATAACTTTATTCATCTTTTAATATTTTTTGCTCTTTTTTTATTATATTAAGTTGAAAAAAAAATATTTTGATAAATATATTAAAGTTAAAACAAAATTAAATAATTTTATAGAAAAGAATTCATCTTTCCGATTTCAATGATTTTAAAATATATTACTAAAATCAATATTTGAACAATTTTTTTCTAAATATATAACTATTGTTCGATTTTAGTTTTTAAAATATCAAAAATATTTTAATAATACTATGTATTGTAAATAATTAGATAATTTAATGGATCTTCAATACTTTGATCCAATATATCTTGTCTATCCAATCTTTAGAAAGTTATTAACAAAGAAGTAATCAATTACATATATATATTTATTTTTTTAACAACTTATATTATAGTTTATAACTTTATATAGTTACCTACCTAGTTTTAAATAGCTTTTTTATTTAATTTAAAATTAATTCGAAAAAAGGAACAGAATTTTTATTTAAAATAAAATAATATGCAAAAATCTGAAATATTAGTTTAAGTTAGATGTAAATTTTTTTTTTTTGGAAAGATTCTCGAAATTTTGGTAATGTCTAGAATTCACAAGAATAACTAGGATTGCTATAAGAGAATCTATAGAATCCTAGATATTTTTAGACATGCTGAATATTTTCGAGATTGATATTTTTGGATCCTTGTACTATTTAATTGATATAGATTGAAATATGTTTTTAAATATAAATATCTACTGATCTCAAATATTAAAAATTATATTTATGATAATATAAAGAATAGAAAAAGAGATATAAACAAATAGATTATTAAAGATAATAGGAATTATAATTATCTTTTCTATTATCTTATCTTTTATTGCACAATTTAACTAAAATCCTTATTTCAAATAGATTCCAAATCTATATCAAATCTTAAAAATGCAATATAATAATTAAAAACATTTATAAATAAAAATTAAATAATTAAAAACATTTTTGTAAATATTTCGGAAACTAAAAAGTCGAAAAATAATCAGAATCAGTTTAAAATCTTGACTGACAACATATTTCAAGACTATTGATATTAGAAAGATGGATCTTTTTTCTACATAATTACTCAGAATCATTCGTCTTCTGTTTTAAATTAGGAAATGATTATTTAGTTGTACTTTGACTGATCACCGTTATCCACGAATCGTACCAAGAGAATCGGTGCAACGCGATTTCAGCTGCAAAAGGAACCAGAAGCACGATGATGCATCAGATGAAAATTACCAGGTAGAGCTGTACGGCAGACCAAATGAGTGTAGGTGAAATATAGGTGTTGATCTAATCCGAAATACCTATCCACATTGTCCCGGACTTGTTCGGTCTTTTCTAAAAGTAATTCTAACCATTCTGGTTCTATTTTCCCGATATAAACCATCTAGAATCATCATTGTCATTAATATAAATTATCATCATTAATTATAATATAATTTAAAGTAAGAATATTTTACCAAGGCAACTCTTCCTATAGTTATTCCTTCAAATTTTTCGTATTTTGAATGTGGACTTTTATTTTCAGTATAACCATCTCCTTCTATAGTGGTTATCTGTATATATGTAAATTAATAAAAATAATTATTGATAAAAATATAGATTTTAAAAAAGTAAGACAAAACTTTAGAATGATTCATACAGAAGCAAATTGCATTAAAGATTCACATTCGATAGAATTAAGAAAACCATCAGTTACGTAGCGATTTGTTCCACCAAGATCTTCCTCTTTTGCTATTGTATTAATATCATTTTTAATTCTATGTTGCTTTTGAATATTGAATATTTCGTGATCCTTAATTCGTTTCATTGAAAGATTATTCAATAATTTCGTGTAAGAAAACGAATGGCCTGGTGATGGATGTCGTATTACTTCAACATCTGATTTCTGTAAAGAAATTTCTTTAAAAATAAGAATAAATCCTTAGAAGTTAATGAAAAATTAATAAAAATTAATAAAAACCGCAAATTTTATGAAAAATTAAATGAATGATACTTTGCATCCATGTATTTGGGTTGTATTATACAGGCGCTTCAACAAGAAATCGAATAGCACGACGCTTAATAGAAACTTAAATAATTTAAATGCAGATAAATTATAATATTATAAATTATAATGCATAAGATAAATTAGTTATTTAATACAAAAAATATTTGTACTTGCAAATTTTTTTATTTTTTATTTTTTATTATTTTTTTCTTACAAAAATTAGAAAAAAAATATGCATAAAGTTTTTAATTATATAATTATTGATATAATTGACTCATTTATATGTTTTACTATGTGCATTATTAAACAAAATCCATAAATATTTCACTCAACTTACAAATTTCAAATATTTTTTTTACAGATTTTTTTATATCTTATTTTTTACCTTTTTTAATTTTTTTACTTTAGTATTGTTTATTTCTTTTTCCTGCTTCTTCTTTTCTTTTATCTTTTTGAATTTTTTATCTATAGTTAAAAATTCGTTAGAAATGTAATGCAAGAGACTTAATTCATATTCCTGTCTTTTTAGGTACATAATGATTTCCTAAAAAAATTAATTATATTTTTTTAATTTTATATCAAAATAATATTATTTTATATTTTTATATTTTAATAATAAAATTAATTACCTGTCTAGGAGAAAAATAATCTTCCTTTACTTTTGGCTGAGTACTATAGTATTTTCTGTTTTGTAGCATTCTTGTATCTACAGGATCGAAAAGTAAAAAACTTTCTACTGCGGCGCAAGCTGCCTTCAATTTTCCCACTATAAAAATACGTGATAGTACTTGTTTCTAAGATATCGCAAATATAATATTGTAATAATGTAATATTTTGCAAGGTTATTCATAATAAGAAATAAAATGGTTAAACAAGAGAGATTAGATCAGCGACAAAAAACTAGATTAAGCAACAAGTCGGAACAATTTTCGCTGATTATTAAAATGATACGAGCTCACTACCACTACACTAGACAAGATTAATCCAATTAAATCTTTTTTAAGGTATGACTAAGAACAATTTAGTTCATTGTATTGTAATTTTAAATTTTTAAAATTAAATTCTGTATATTAAAATCTTTTTATTTATAAATTATCTTTATAGTTTATCAAATTATCCTTCATAAAATTGCTTTATATATAATTTGTAAAAATAATAAATATATAATATATAATCAGTGCAACATCAGCAATAAAATGATAATTTTATCTATTATTATTTGTCTTTATTTAGTTCAAAACTATATATATATTTTAAATAGAAAAAATATAATATTTATTAAGTTATAAGAAATTTTAATATTAGATAAAGAGAATCAGAAATAGAGCGAATTGGCTTTTCATTACATCATCATTCTATTTTCGTCTTGCTTCATTTAATACAAATTTAAATTGCTTATAATTTAATAAATAAGTCTCAATTGATATTTTATACCAATTTTTTTTTGTCTTAAGGAATAGATTTTAATATATTAATATCTTATACACGTAAATATTGTATGTATGTAATCATAGCTCAAATCTTTTTTTCTTAATTTCTCAATTTTCAAAATTTATTTTATATATATATTTTTATAAATGAATATACTTACATTTATAATAAGAGAATTGTAAATAATCATAGTGACTCCTAAGTATGTCTCTGCGGTAATCGCCATTTACATTGTTTAACATACGTGAACAAGCTCGTTTGCACTTCAAACAATACGCAAAATGATCTGAAAGACAGAAAGAATATTTTTAAAAGGTCATAATAATTTCCTTTCTTTTTTTTAGATCAACTCACTAGCGATTGAGGAAGTAAATTCCGGATGCCAGCCTTGATCAAAAGGACCTTCGCAATAAAATCTGCATTCTTCCTCTTCTTCTAAGTACAATTGTAACGATGTTTCGAACAAACTGATAGCTTTTGCGTAATCTTCGTTCTCATAAGCTGAGACTCCTTTAAAGTAGATACTGACATAAAATGGTGTTTCTAAATTTACTACATTTTCTGTCTGCACCTCTGGTAATGTTAAATAACGTTTAAAAATATTCATGTTTATCTCGTTATCTGGATGAACAACTAAGAAAGTAAACAATGCATTGGCAGCATCTTGATATCGATTTTTCTGTGAAAGAAAATATCAGTGAAAAAAAAATAAAAATAAAAATAAAAATTAAAATATATGATTAAAAAATAATAAAATATATATAAAATTTTATGTTAGAAAATTAGCATTGAAATGGAAAAGTTATTATTTATTAGAAAGAATGAAAACCTATTGGCATCATATTTCACACAATCATGAGACTTGATTACTTCAAGGGAAATTTTATGGGTAAAACGTGACGCGTACAATGTAGTCTAATACTAAGTACCGATACATAGGCATACCAATTACGTAGGTTGGTCTTTACAACCGGACTTGTCATTCGGATTGTTAAACTCATTATTTATTAAAAAGTTACTGGTATGAGGCTTTTGCAAAGTTACGATTGCATAAACACTTTTACTAGAAATCGCAAAATCATTTATGAGATAGTTAAAAAAAAATCTAAATACTAGATCTTTAATAAATTTAAAATGCTGAAGTTATAATAAATTAAATAAAATAATAATAAATATATTCATATTTTATAATATGCGTTTATATAACAAATATTTATATTGTTAAAATATATTATTTTTTTATCGATTTATTTATTAAATACATTCATTTTTGCTTTTCAGTTTACCTTAGTTCTTTACTTATATTTACAAAATTATTAATTTTTTGTTTCAATTGAAAAAAAAATTATTAATCATAATAATTTTCTTTTTTTATTTACCTGATAGTAACAATTATGCAAGTATTCATAAACACGACGTTCCACTAATTTTTGTTCGATATCACGTGACAACATTTTGAGCGCCTTTGAACCGGCGATTTCACGATATTCCTGATTGCACGTTAGAAGACAAAGTGTCTCTCTCACTTTTTTCTCATAAAAATGCAAATCTTCAATGTTTTCTGGAAAAATTGGTGCCGTACCAGCAGCATATACACGGCATTTTTTCCTACAGTTTATTATCATTCGTTTATAAACTTTATATCTGAAAAATATTAAATATAAAGAAAAGTAATGTAATAAGGCACTTTCTATTTTTTAAATTATGTATTGAATCTTCTATTTTTCTTCAATATAAATTGCTATGAACATACATAGAATTAATTTGTTATGTATATATCAAATATTTTTTATAAATTAGTTTTTTTTTAATTTTTGATATACTATTTTTATTTATGTCAGTTTTTGTTTTTTTTTTTTTTTTTTTTTATAATTCATAATTTTAGTTTCAGATTTACCTATGAGAAACTGCGTTGAAGTTTTCAATACAGTAGTCCCAATCTTCCTCGAGATAAGCATGAACAGCATCCATGAAGAGTTCATTCAGAGTTCTATTCTGTAGATATCTATCCTCTTCATTCTGTTCTTTTAAATCTATGCGCTCGTCACTTGGGATTATGTTGTATAGAGTATCATTACTGGCAATGATCGTGCCACAGAAGAACAAGAGTACGATAAGCATCATTGTACTATTCAACCGTTTCGATTCATACTGAAGATCTTCAAGAACTGTAGCTGTAACTTTGAGAGATGTTGATCCACACATGAGGCGTACGGCGTACGTAATCACCTATCCCCCCCCTCTCTCCCCAATTGCTCCTTCACCAGTCACCAAATGTGGCTACAGTGCTGTATCATAATCATGGATCCTCGACCCATTAAAGATCGATATATTTTTTTTAGAAATATAAAAGAAAAGACTAAAAGTTTCAAATTTATTTTAATTAATAAAAAATTTAGATTCTTAGCTTTTTAAAAAATTTTTGAATTTTATAAAATTTTAATTTTTCAAAAAAAACAATAAAGATGAAATTGTAATGGATTTACTATGATCAATATGTTTTAATATATATATATATATATTTTTAGAAATAAATAGCTTCATTCATTAATATTTTCAATGATGCGCTGTAGAATCTAATCTTTTCTTTCACTTTTCCGAATAATAATGTAGATTCATAAAAAGTTTCGATCTAAAAATCAAAAAAGACAAATATTTTATTATCAAAATGAATCATATTTTATCAATGTATGATATAATTATGTTTCATAAATTTGAATAATTAAAATTTCCCGAATTAATCTTAATATTAATATAATATTTAAACATGTGATTAATAAGAAAACAAATATTCTACAAAAATTTTCATATAATTATTTTTTATTAATTTAAATTTTTTTTTAAAAATGTATCAATTAAAATGAATATTGAACAATATCTTTTTAAATATGATATAGATCAATTTTTATATTGCTAAATAAATTACACGTTTTACTATTATGTTTCAAAAAAAAAAATTATTTGATTTATTTGAATTGTTAACTTGATTTATTAAATTGAAAGAAAGCGAACCGTTCTAAATATTATGAAAATTATACTTAATGTCACACTTAAAAAATATTAATGTAAAAGAATGATTCTGAAAAATGTCTCCCAAGTACATTCACCGTTGACCTGCTCCAATTTTTATTTTTCTTTTCATTCAAACATCGATATCGATCATGTTGGCATCGATGCTATGATATGAATGGAACTGAAAGGACAAATAACGAAATGTATAATAAGAAAACGAAATTATATTTCACGTGGAGAGAATGTAATATAATTATCAAACGTTCATTAAATTCACTAATAAAGATTCAAGAAAATTCTCATGGAGAATATCCATTTGCTTATCACAAAGAAAGAAAAATAACAACAATGTCATTGAAGATCTTAGAAAGGAGCGAAGAAAAAAAGTAAATTAAAAAAAAGCTCAAATATTAATTGCAAAATGCTTTTCCTACATTTTTTTTCTACAATTTGATTATCTATGATTGAAGTAAAATATTTTCAATTAATATGTAGTGCTGTTTTTATAAATATTTATTCCTTATTATTAATTTTTCGATTGTTTTTGCGAAACAAGAAAGAAAAATATGTGGAACAAAATGATGTTTTCAAAGCTTTTTTGAATTTTTCGTGTTTTTTGTTAACGAATTGAAAATTTTAAACGATTTAGTTTCAAAAATATTATTTGGCCTCAACAAAGAATCATCTTGTTTTTCATCTCATAAAATAATTTCTAATAAATTGATGAATTTTATAACTAATTATAAGCTATGACAATGTAACGAAAAAATGTTTAACAATCAAAATATCGATTATCTTGAAATATATATTAAAAATTTCTCTTTCTTATTTCGTGATAATTCAAATAGAATTCACATATTCATGAATAATTTATTCGATATGATTTCGATTCGAATCGTTATTGTAATTTCTGAATATTTAGCTCATATGATCAGTTCTTATAATTAAGAACTAGGTTTTTTTTTTTTTGCTCTCCATCCTATATTAATTAACATTACTTACACATCTAAGTGCAAAATGAGAATGAAAATGATCTATAAAGCGAAAATAATGAAAATAACAATGATCGTGATTTTTTTACGCTTCTACAAAATTCTTCTTAATTTCATTACATATTATATATCTACTACGATTGATTAGTAATATGCGACCATTGAAATCTTTCGGGACGATTGTTTATTTGTTTCTTCGAATTTTTTTTTAGTTTTAAAATCCACATCGAATATATTCTTTTTCTTTTTTCTTTTTTTAAAAAAATTTAATATCATACGAGATGCCCGCAGAAAAACATTTCACGTTTCCCTGGACCTTTTTTGTTCACGATCACTATAAATTTATATTTTTTAATTTTTTAATTTTCTTATTCTTTCATTAATTCCATTAGCCTCATCGAGCAGTGAATTCGTCGGATTCGAAAAAACGCGCAAGCTGCCTCGAAATCCTCGGGAAACGCAATACAACTACTGACTCTTAACTATAAGACAACATCAACACTATAACATCGATCATATATCAACCATACATATGCTAAGCATAGAAAAGAGTATGCGGACAGATAAGAGAGACGCAATAGTGGCTGTCTAAAAAAGTCTTAATAACATAGAATATCATGCAATCGTCGAATAATCGACCCACGAGCTTCTTATTAAGTTTTAAGATTAATTGTGACACTTCACCTATTTTATAAACAAATAAAAAAATTTAATATAGTCGAATTATTTTTGATATATGAAATAAATTAATATATAAGATAAACAATATAACAATAATTTCGCTTAAAATTTATCACGAGTATTTGTCCGCATTAAAGAAATTCTTCGGACAGGGATAAAGATGATTATGATATTTGTAACCATGATACTGATTAATTCTCTAAAAAAAAGCCAGTTTCTCTTATCGTCTATTCTTATATTTAAAACGGCGTACAATATATAACGCAATATGAGTTTCATATTTCACTCTTAATGATCGATATCGCGCGGTTAAGTTATTCCACTTTCCTCGTTGCTAATAAACGCCAAATACAAACTTATTCTCATTCTCTTGAAAAAGAGAAAGAGAAAAGATGTAATACTACAATTGCTTGGCTTATTATTAATACAATGATGATCAATACATTTAAAAATCGATGGAAACGAAATTTATCTTTGTATGGCAGAGATACACATGTATTATATGTATGTATATGTATATCATATTATTTTTTATGGCAATGTTTCCTTTTTCGTACAATAAGCGAATTGTGAGAGAAGCGTCGAGAAATGTGGTGGACAACATATGAAGACCGAAAATTACGGCCTGTTTCACTACTTTTTTTTTCGCGATTGAAGCATATACTTCTGCCATTAATTAATATTATAGTTTTTTTTATATACAAAATAAATTAACAAATACCTAATACTAAAAAATGATTATAACGCGTTTTAGTGGACCAAATTTGGTTTCCACAACACTCGTAATTCTTGTTCTTTTTTATCGCTGAAAAATTTTCAAGATGCTTCCAATACGATATGTTTTCCGTTATCTTGCTTTTTAATTTTTTTTTCTTGTTATTTATTTTGTTTCTATTTTTATCACTTTCTGTAAATAAATGAGTGATTTAGGTACTTTAAATTTATTTGAGAGCACCAGTTCTTACGCGCAAGAATACCCTGAGCAGTAAATGTTAGCACCACACAAAAAAATTCGCATTAATTTCAATTAAATACATCACAGTATACATATAGTCGAATCGAACTGAGAAATGTTAATATTACTATATTAACGGAAATGATTTGTACACTAATTATTGTGGCGATGATCATTTACCGTATATATTCGCATAATAGATTGATTTCAAAAAACCTTTCTAAAAATTTATTTCATAATCAATATCAAATGAAGTATATAATATATACAAGACAAATAATTATTTAACAATTCAAAACTTCATGAAAAATATTTCTTAAATATTTTATAATTATTATAAATAAAAACTAATTAACTTTTTTTCTTTCAAATATTCAATTTTTATATATTATAATGTAAAATATATATTTTTAAATATTTTTATATTCATATTATATTAAAAAAAAAATCATTACAAACTTTTACGTTTAAACTAAGAACACGAATATATACGATATATATTATTTCTATTCTTTATTTCTTTTTTAATTTCACGAATATTACACGTATTGGAAAGCTATCTGTATGCGATTTGCTAACTGCTATATGTTGATTCATATATGGTGTGTTAATAATTAGACATAAATGTAAATGAGATCGTTTAAATACTGTAGCCGAAGTGTAAATTACTCCAATTTTTTCGTCCCTGTTTTTTTAATTTCTCGCAGAGAATTAGCAATAGTAATTTCAACAGACTGCATTCATTTGAAACTGTTGAAATAATACTTAATTGCAATTATCCTCTATTTTTATCTCTAAGTTTATATTCAATGATTGTATGACAAATTATTCAATTATAGAGTAATGCAGTATACCGCTATATCAGCTAAAGCTACATGTTCAGGTATGTTATTCAATGGAAGCCTACATTTATTTAATTCAAGTAGAAATCACTTCTTTTTAAAGCTGTAAACTTTAAATTAGTATACTTTTTTTGATTTGCCACCTTTCTAATCTTATTCAAGTTAAAATATGCACATCAATATATTCATTAGATATTCAATTTTGTTTTTTTGTAAAATTTGATTGAAAAGAGAGATAAGTTTAAAAAAAAACAGACCATCTGATAATTACGCGCAAATATTTATCTTGTTACATCCTTAAATCAGGATCATTTGAACAATAATTATTTAATTGTTTTTCTTATCCTTTCCAGATCCCATAACCTCAAATGTATTCAAATGTTGTGTAGATGAAACATTACTTGTGCTTTCAGAGCCATCAATTTTGTACTTTTTTGATATTTTCTTCCCTTCTGAATTAGTTTCTGAATTTTTTGAACTAGCTGTTTTTTGCTCAATCACTTTATGAGGTACAATTATTTTTTCATTGTTTTGAAGCAGTTTCTGAGATGCAACCTGTGGCACTTTCTCATTGTTTTGAGATTTCTGTTGTACAGTTTGCAAAATACCTCTTTCGTTGGTTTGCGAAAATTTCTGAGTAGAAAATTGTGAGTTCTTATCATTACTTTGTAATATTTTATGATACGAAGATTGTGAATTTTTTTCATTGCTTTGTGGCAATGCTTTTTGCGATGAAGCTTGCGAACTTTTTTCAAAATTCTGAGATTGCTTGTGAGATGGATTTTGTGAACAGCGCATTTGTATGTTAAAAGAATTATCCAATTGAACCCTTTCGTCAATTTTATTAATAGTTGCACCTTCTGAATTCTTTGTGGATAAATTCTTTTTTTCCTTCTTCAATTCAACACGTTCATTGCGCTCGGTAATATTTTCTAATTCTGTCAATTTACTTGTAGAAGTGTTATTTTTATCGACCTTCTCTAAAGATAAAACTTCCTTCGAATAATCATCAGCCTTTGAACCGGTCGGTGAATCTTTTTCCTCTGCTATTCTAGGTAACTGTGTACTACCACAAGAATTAGATATACCCACATTTCCCAAATTGATTGATATTCCATGAGATATTTTCGAATAATCTGATTTCGATTCTGTTGACACTTTCTTTTCCACTTTCGAATCATTTGGTTCTTTATAGTTGTCACTGCACTCTTCAGATGTTTCTGAATAGGATTGAGCTATGGTTGTACGAGGAGTCACTTTTACCACTGAGTTTGCTAATGGTGAAATTGATGTTTTATTTTCTGCAGATCGGGGGTGAAGTCTGTCTGGACTAAGTGCTCTTCTTAATAATGGAGAACCAGGTTCTGCTGATTTCGGTCGTCCATAACTTTTTTTCTGATTGTTTGGCGTTGATAAACAAACTCCTAAATATAAGAAACATATATCTATCATTTATTTTATTCTAAATACAATAACTTAAAGACTCTATATGAACTTTGACATTTTATAATATTTAAAATCATTCAAAATCACATTGATTTGATTATCATAATGAATCAAAATACTAAATTAGTTAAATCATTTTATTTTATAGATATTATATTTTTATTAAATATTTTAATAATTTTGATAGTTTTAGCTTTTTTTTTTTAATTTTTTTGATTATTTTTATGTATTTGTACTTTTTAGTTTTGTATTAAAAAATTTGTAATAAAATTTTTAGATTTTGATAAGTTTTTTAATGCTAATATTATCATATCAATCATCAAAAAGATTCATAAGAGATAAATATTGAAATAAATTATAATTGGCTCTTATAAATAAACAACTTATGTATATGTAAATTAATTCGTAATCAATAATCAACATGTTAAATTAAAATCACTTATTTATTATTAAAGATTAAATTCAACTATTTAAATGTCAAAACAAAATCATTTCAAATTTATTAACTTTATTGTTTTATAAATACCTGGACTATAAGACTGTGTAGTATTAGAACTACCAGGCTGATGTCCTGTAGGAAATGCTAATGGACTAGGACTTCTGGTAGGACTAGCAGGAAGCGGCGACGGACTCGGAGTTCTAGCTAACGGAGACAATGGTATATGTCCAACTGATTTTCTGCGATTCGGCGAATGAATATTTTTTGCAGCTGTATGCAACTTGTGTTTCAAACCGTGAAGTGTACTTGGTCTCTGATAATGAGATTGATTGGCAATAGTGGATAAATTTGTAGTAGATGTAGAAGAACCAGGAGAGGAAGAATTTGGACTGGAACAAGGGCTCGAATTCCCCGTAGAATGATAAGAATCCGAGCTAACACGGTTTGTTGGAGGTGAAGGACTGCAAACGGACTTCGTACATGTTGCAAAGTATGGTGATGTCTCTTGGGAACGTGTAAATGATTGGAACGATCGACTAGGCGTTACCATTGATGGTGAACAAATTCCTGCAGCCATCTGAAAAAAATTGTGTAATATTTCTGTTTAATGATAAATATGTTAATTAAATCATCAAATGTTTTTCCTTCTAATGCTCAAATTTTTTGTGATCGGTGTACAGTGTAGAATTTTGATATTGTCACGAACAATAAGAAAAACACATATTTAAAAGCTGCCACGGGATTGTATTGGACAAATAAGTATTGATAAAAAAAAAACAGCAACTAAAACATAGCTAGCAATTCACGAAACGTGACGAAAAATCATACCATAAGTGGAGGTTTGCTGTCGCTGGATAGAATGGGTGCTGACAATGGACAACTGATAGTTAATGGCTGCAATAAAAAAAAAGTAACACTTAACATAATAACGTGTGTTGCATTAAAATTGCCAGTGCTTTAGTATTTATGCCGCGGTCAGTAGCAGTAACAAGTGTAGTAGTAATATAGTATACAATAATAAGTTATTATGATAATAATATTGGAAATCTTAAAAGAAAAAGAAAAGAAAAAATTATATAAAATATAATACATTCATAGTTCAAAACATTTTTTTAAATGTTCACAATTGATAGTCAAAGAAAATTATGATGTATTTTTAAAACATTTTTGAATAAAAAAAATTATAAAGCAAAAATCAAAAATATACTTTTATACCTGTTGCATCTCTACGCTAGCTCGTTTCGAGCTAATTCGTTTAAAAAGGGATGTTTTTCGTTTTTTATCTGAATGATCACGTTTCAATTTGCGCTGTTTATGTAATGTTCTGCGAGCCATTTTACTTTGAGTCAAATCTCGTTTCCTTCCTCCTGTTTTGATACTAGTATTTTCTAATGGTGTACTACGTAATGTTACGTGATCACCGCCACTTAACATCAACTGAAGAACTTGTATATGATATAAACCCTGCACTGGTTCACCATTTATATGTGTTATGAGATCGCCTGGTCTTAAACCAGCTTCAAAAGCTGGACTAGATTGATCTACAGCCTATAAAATGTATGAAATAAATATAATCGGGCTATGCTATTTTGGTAATAATTCATAACATACCATAACTAGATGATGCATGGTGTAAAAATCACTGTCACCATAGTAAACTCTAATCGTATGTACAGTGAAGCCAAATCCACATGGTCCTCTGCGAATAATAATTGGAGGTTTCAAACTAGTTACCAATGGACTCAATTCGCGACAAGGAGACGTATCTCTTGAAGATGCAGTGGATGATCCACCGGGAGATTCGATTGGTTGAGTATTTAATGATGCATCATCTGGAAATATTGCTCGATTTAATAATTATAAATGAACATTATAATGTAATATGCAATAATTTAATTTATAATAATATGTACAAGAAAAATCACTGGTTGGTATAACTAATGATAATCCACTAGTGGATGCAGACTTTATCACGGATCGTGATTTTTGTTTTACGGATGGTATAATTGGTATGGCGCTAAATGATTCAAAAGAATCAGTACTAGAATTATGTTTACTTTCTTCAGTTGTATCTCTGTTTGCAATTAAATCCAACCTGAAATAAAATTTATTTATTATATTCACAGATTTAATTTTAATCACGCATTGAAGAAGTGAATGATTCATATGCATTGATAAGGCATTGATTTCTAGAGAAGTGGAGTCAGTTTTGTGATAACGATTATAATGTTTGGGAAGATGTATGTTTGAATGACTCACATGTGTTCATCATCAATGCATATACTGAACCTGGGCAGCTTATCACGGGAATGCAAATGTCGCTTTCTCTGGATTTGGGGACTGATGTCCTCAGATTCCGTTTGCGAAGAATCAGGTGTGCTTAAACTGATGGATGTCCCTTCTATTTGATTATTCCTAATAACTGTTAATTGAGACTCGCCACTGGTTACTGTGGCAGGGCTCGTGAACGATGCATTTGACTTATCCGTTTTTGGAGGTGTTTCAATGTTTGTAATTTTAATAGATGAAGATCGATTTTTTTCTGGTAGAGTCGATTCCGCTAACTTTGATGGAGGCGTGGTTGAACTATTAGATCCAGAAGACAATTGCGCGACTGTCCGTTCAAGCTCAGTACGGAATAATTGTTTTTTAGAAATATCTATCTCTGTTTGTTCGGGATTTATTTGAGGTGGACGGGTTTGAGATATTTTTCGTGATTGTGGAGAATACGAAGAAAATGACCCGAACAAAGGAGAATCATCGGTATCATCAGTATCGTCACCTATATCATGATTATATCTATCCATACGAGCTGGAATATTATTTTTTTTTTAATATTTCAATATTAATTAAAAAATTAAAAATTATACTGTATATAATATACATACTATCAAAATAACTTGTATCCTCATCATTGACTAATTGTGGCACGAATTCAGCCTTTTGTCTGAGTAAACTATTCCAATTTACTCCATAAAAATATAAGTGTTCTTTTACTTCATGAGATCCACCTGTGCCTAAACGATCCCTAGGACTTTGTTGTAATAGTGCTGTTATAATGTCCTTAGCTTCTGGCTGAACAGGCCAATCATCTTCATCTGGCCACTCGATATCATCTGTATAATTTTTTTGTTTATATTTTTTAATAATTTTCAAGTAATTTTTGTATTTTCCAACAATATTTACCATTAACTGTATGAGCAAATAATTCTTCCGGAGTATCACCAAAGAATGGTACACAGCCAATTAAAAATTCGTACAATATAATTCCCATAGACCACCAATCAACAGGTTTGCCATATCCCTGACGCAATATAACCTCAGGAGCAATGTATTCAGGTGTGCCAAACACTTGTTTATCCGAAAATTGTCTCGTATCTCTGTCGATATAACCCTCATAAAGATTTGTTGCCACTGAAAATATAAGAAATTTTGTTATACAACTATTGAACTATATATTTCAAAAATATTGATTTTCTGCATCACTTACAAGACATAAGACCCATTTTACTGAGACCAAAGTCAGTAAGTTTAATATGACCAAGGGCAGTAATAAGTAAACTAAAAAAAAAAAAACAACGAATAAAATATAATAAAATATGAATAAAAAATAAAGAAAAAAATTTTTTTACATACTTGTCAGGTTTTAAATCTCGATGAACAATACCATAACTATGTAAATATTCAACAGCTAAGACAGTTTCCGCGAAATAAAATCTTGCCATGTCTGGTGGCAATGGACCGATGTTTTTTAATAGATTTGCACAATCTCCGCCTTCTACATATTCCATTACTAAGCACAAGTGTTTCTATGTAATTAAATAATAGTTGATACAATTATATAATTAAATTGATATATTATTTATATATATTTATATTTTTTAAAATTCAAAATAATGTATACGTACTTTTGTCTCAAAACTACAGTACATAGAAACGACAAATGGATTGTCTGTAAAACTCATTATATCTCTTTCAGCGAAGACTTGTTCTACTTGATTTCTTAGCATCAAATTGTTTTTATTTATTTTCTTCATGGCAAATCTTTGACGTGTAGTTTTTTCTTTAACCAGATATACTGCGCCATATGCACCATTACTAATAAGTTTTAAAACTTCATAATCACTTTCACATGGAATACGTTGAGATTTATCATCATCTTTATTTGGACTCGAAGCGATTTGTAAATTACTATCGCTCGAACTAGCTGAATCTTCTAATTTGTTTAAATCTTCTTGCAATTCTAAAATATAGAGATATATTTAATTTTACTAATTATTATTGAAAAAAAAAAAGGAATTATAAAATAAATATTACCTGATATTGGATCTCTGTTAAGAGAAAGTTTGTTAATAATATATTGTGGTATATCTGTTTTTATTCCTGCATTAATTTTTGCTTGGCCCTCAGCTTGTTCGAGTAAATGATAAAATTCTTCAGGATCGAATTCTAAACATTCCAATAAACGAGCTGGACGCGATATTACCAACAACAATTTTTTAATAAGTCCTGTTAATCTTGTTGCTGCTTCAAGTGATTTATCTTTTGTCTAAAAATAAAAAAGATATTTATTATTATTTATTTCTATCATATAAATTTTTATGAAATTACCTCCATTAATAAATGTTCCAAATTTTCACTCATTTCATAAAAATATCTAGTTGTAATTAATTTTTCTTGAGATTTTTGCAAACAGTCTCTTGCCATTTCAATTACTTGATGATGTACAAATCTTAAAATTGGAAGAGAATCTTGGGTCATATTTGCCATTACTTCATATTCATCTAGCTCTTTGTTTTCATTGATAAAATTAGTTAAACGTTCTTCCATTTGTTGTGTAGCCTAATCAAATAATTTTTAAATAACAAAATTGTTGTTATATTTTGTAAAATTACAAAATGTTTATATATATATACACATATATATAAATATATTTAGTTGAAGTTTTACCTTGGGAAATCTTTCTTTATAAAGAGTATTCATCATAACAATTTCGCTATCTAATACAGGAGAACGACTTGGACTGCTAAAATTGAAATAAAACATACAATTGCACAAAAATGTTACAAACAATATTTTTCAAAAAATTGAAAAAAATAAAATTATATGAATAATATAATATTCATAATAAATTACAATACTTTACTATATATATTTTATTATATTTACCTTAAACTTCGTGAACGAGGTCTATGTAACGGTGATCTACGGCCCTCTTCATCAAGGCTAAGAGATACGCTGCCAGGAATACTCGAAATACTAGAACCTGGAAAACCTGGATGCGAAGAACAAGGTGTACCAGGTTTAGAAAAATGGCAAGAAAGCATACGTAATTCATCCTTGGTGGGAACATTTGGAAGTTGATGCAAGCGTTCTTGACTTGAATACTGTGACTAAATAAATAAATTTATAAATTTTTTTAATCATTATCAATGTTTTCATTCTTCAACAAAATAACTAACCGAAACATTACTAGAGCCTGGTGTTGTACCATAACCACTAGATGGTAAACTAGCAACTGACCATCTTCTCCCATCTCCAGTTCCTGTAGTACCTCCACCAATTCTAAATATTATATATGTTTTAGTGTGAAAAATAATTTAGAATTATTGACTATAATATATATTGTCTGCTGAAAAGTTAGTTTTTGTATTTATAAATATACATATAGTGCAAATACTTTATGATAAAATCTTACACATTCCATATTCTTCGTTTTTTATAAATTTTATTACAGCCTAATTTCGATAGCAGCATTTGTTTTTTTTACTATTAATAATGTATTAAGAATATAATACTTACAATAGAAATCTATCTATATAGATAAACTTATATAAATAACTTATATAAATAAACAAGTCAAATTTAAATAGACTAAGAATAAGACTAGATATGAAATAGAAATACCTTTTAATTGGAGCAAAAGCAAAATGTGGACTTGATGACATCCTAGGACTTTCTAGGGGACTGCCTACAATCGGGACAAACGCTATATAAGGAAATAAGCAGTAAAAAAAAATTAGTTCTTTATAATAAATTAAATTATATAAAAATATAGAATACATGTTTTTATAATTATCTTCAATTAATTAAAAAATAATTTTAAAAAACAAGTTTAAAGATAGAAGTTAAAGTTTCTAAAATTAACTGCATAAATTGCAAATTGCTATAATTATATTGTGATAATTATTTTAACCGATTTAAACATGGATATTTAATATATTTATAATATATATCAATATATATTTATCTAATTTATATAGAATAGAATAGAATACTATATAGAATTCTTTGATTGATCAATTTTATAGTCTAAAACACAAAAGTTCATATATAAAAATATTGGACTTATTTATTAAGATATAAGTAATTAAAATTTTCATTATATAGAGTGAGACAGAAATAGAATGAGATTATCTTCATTACACTACTTTTACATTCTATTTCTGCTTCGTTTCACTTATAATAATAAATAAATTAATAATTAATAATTTAATAATCTTAATTAACATTTTATATATCAATTTTTATATTTGTTTTTTATATTTGTCACTAAAAATGATCCTTCAAAAATATGTCATAAATATATTAAATATTTATATTTATGTATCTATATGTATGTAAAAATTCACACATATATATATATATATATATACTTAAAGATATTGGGCAAAATTATATGAAAATTGTATTTATAAAATATATTTTTATAAAATATATAGCATTCATAAATAGTTTATATATTAACAACATATAAAATATTATTAAAATGTTGCATATAATATTATATATAAAAAAATATAAAAAAATATAAATAATATAATATAAATATAATAAATTAAAAACATTTATAATTATATACCTGATAGTGGTGAATGACAACGTGGTAAAGTTGGAGATGTTGTTGCAATAAAAGATTTACGATGAGCTGCTTTAGCAGTACGTCGAGGAATGTTAAAATCACGCTAAAAGAAACAATGTTAATATGATTGTCAATCATTATATTTTTAGTTATTTTTAGTATTTTGAACATTTTAAACATAGAATATTACTAACCATATGAACTGATAAAGAAGGTGCAGATTTTCCAATTGCAGAATTCCTCATTCGAACTAGATTTGATAATTCTCCACTGACTAAAAATATTAAATGATTAATATAAATGATTAATAATTATGAAAAATAAATAGATAAATGAAATAAAATTAAATTTTATTAACCAGGTCGCACTGGAGCTTCCTTACTCTCCATTTTAGATGGAATTGGATGTTTTTGTATTTCTGCCTCAGTACTACAAGCAGATTCTTCACTTTCAGCTTGATCAAATACAAGTACTCTGGCTGAATTGCCATGAGATCGAAGACGAGGTCTACTAGGTCTATTTCTATTTTGATCCATATTTGTCCTATTGTTTTTGCCTTCAATTATTTATATTACCTTAAATTAAATAAATTGTTTAATCATTTTTATTTTTGAAAAAAATATTGACATTAAAGAATTAAAGAAAAAAAATATTATGAATGCAAATAATAAATATATACCTGACTCAATTTGTTTTATTCACAGGAAAGAAAACAAAGCAAGAAGTAAGTTTGATAAACGAGACTATCGGAAAATTCACAATCCATTCTTTCTTATAAAAGTTCGATCGAGACTGACAGTTTAAAATCGGTCGAATGCACGAGTTGGAGAAGCATTTGTGTATGCCTACACTTTTGATAGCTTAAAATGCCGTCTCACATACAACCCTTTCTTATGCTGTTGCTGCTGTATGAAAATTCATAACATATAAAAGAACAGGAAATAAATTATACTTTGGTCGATTGAAAAGGGAACTGTAGGCGATTCGAAGAATCGAAGCAGGGACCCGTTTTAAATAAGATGTATATACCTGTAGACGAAAGAGAGAGAAACAAGAGTCCAACGAAAGAACAGAAGCGGGATATAAGAGGTTCAACGAGAGAAACAAGAGAAGAAAATACACAACACTAAGCACACATAATGGATATGAACATAGCAAGAGGAAGATAAAAGATACGCGATTTACCGGGCACAACGGGCATGTCCTCTGAGGACAAGCGGCCCGGGAGTAAGCAGGTGTTGTAGTCCTAGGTCTAGAATCGCATTTTTCTCGTCACTATAAAAATTAATTACGAAATACAGACCGACATGGGTTCTGACTCATGATGGATGTACACACATGCACATTCTCACGTATACGCATGTGCATTTATACATGGACGCACGCGCAACACTGATGCATGAAAACGCGCACAAATACACGTATCCTTGGCCACAAGTTGCACTGTAAAATCAACATCATACTCTTTATAGCGAAATATGAATGCTTTCTGATGTATTAAATATATCAATGTTCATAGAAATTTTGTTATTTGTATATTCAATATTCAATTAAATTTTTTTAATTTGTGAATGAAAACTTTTTCTCATTCAGTTAATTTTCGAAAAAAATCAGAAAAAAATTGTAAATGCTTTTTTTCAATTCTTTTTTCGATTTTTAAAATTTTTAAATTTCTCATTTTCTGAATTAATATCCAAAAAGAAAAATTAATAATTATGAATAGTTTTAATTATTTATATTGTTTAAAAATTAACATATATTAAATATTATAAATAAATTTTTAGATAATTAATATATTACAATTAATATATTAATTTTAATGAATCATATAAAATTTAAAGATATAAATATAAAATTCTTATGAGTGTTATTGTATTTTTAAAATTTTTATAAGTAGTTTGAAATATTTTGTGTCTGTAAATTATATTACAACGAAATTATTAAATATAAATGCGTTTATTATTCAATTTAAAATTAATTTGAAAATATAATTTATATGTCGATAAATTTAATATGATTATCAATATACTTACTATATTTAATCTTACTACTTAATCGATTTTGAACTAGAATCGATTGTAACCTTGTGACATTTTTAACAATACGAATATGAACTGTCAACAATGTTACGTAGTTGTTAAATTTATATTTTAAAACAGATATAATTAGATATAAAAAATTTTCAAATTTTAATATTATACAAATATATTCATTTTTTTTTATTTGTTATGTTTTATATAATATTATAATTCGTAAATACATCATTATTCTCTAAAAAACATTTTAAATATCTATATGTCACAATTATATAAAAAAAACAAGTCTTTTTTGACATATATCAATTGATATATGTCATTAACATACTGAAACTATTTAAAAAAATTTAATATATATTCATATGTTTAATTTATACATATATTTTTTTAATATTATATTATTTTATTCATTTAACGCATACAATATCATATATTATATTATTATATATTCTTTCTCCTTTTTTCCTCCAAATTTTCTTTTTTCGTTTAATTTGTTTTGTTAGTAAAATATAATCTAACCTGTGTTAAACTATTTAAAATAATTATTTTTAAAAGCTTTTGTCAAAATTTTAAAAAGCTTTAAAAAGCTTATTAAAAAGTTATATTGCTATAATGATTTCATTCTTTAAATGTATTATATAAATAATGTATTTCAACTATCTTTTGCTGACAACTAGTAGAACTTTAACATATACAAGAAATAGTCTATCATATAGTACCATTTCTGGAACATTTTCTCATCAATATAAAAGGTCTGTAAAAAGATGGCAATATTTAAAGCTTCAAATATCAAATATTCATACGACTCAAAAGCTTTGTTATCCTACATCTTTAACTATATGTCTTGGTTCAATTTTATGTGGTTATTATGTAAGAAAATGGTGGTTGAAACAACCATTAATGCAACAACAAATGTATATAACATGGTTTAAGCAAAAGAGATATATATTTTATGGTATTATATTTCTTCAATGGTATAATAATTCATAGATATTTGAAATAATATAAATATTGGACATATATATATTTCTAGGTTCTTTGGCATTCTTATCATTTATTTTATTTATTTATTGTTTAACATGTTTTGAAAAGGATCGAATATTGAAGAAACGACGTTTTATTTTATTTAATCAAGATCTACGAATTAAAAATGCTAAAATTCTTTTTAGAGTATGTATTCAAACAATATTTGAGCAAAAATAGAATAACAATTTTTGTATATAATCATATTGTATATAATCATAAAGTTGCATGTGATAGGTAATAGTACAAAATAAAGAAAATGTAGTACCATTAAATGATCCTAAGTATACAATTGTTGGCAATGCAATAAAAAAATTAATAGATTCTAATAAAGAAATTTTTGAAGGATTGGATTGGACAGTAACTATAATTTATCGTATATTTAATATGGCATCACTTCCTAATGTTTTGATTTTACCAGTATGTAAAATAGTATATAAAATGCTATTATATATATATAAATAAAAAAAAACTTATCCTAATAAAGATATTAACTTTTTCATTAAATATTTTAGGATAGAAGTATTATTATACTTTCTGATATGTTTGATCTCATTAAAAGCAATGATCAATTAATATTTATTTTAGCCCATGAAATGTCACATGAAATGCTTCTTCATACAGTAAGTTATGTTTAATTATAAACAATATATGATATATCATAAATCTTAAATATAAAAAAAAAAATATAATATTATGTAATTATAATATATTTGTTCTCAGTCAGAAACATTATCTTTTGGAATACTAAATGATATTGTAACTATTATCTTTTCATTTATAATTTGGGTTTTATATCCAAGAAGAATAGCAGCCATACTTTGTTCAAGTTTTTATGTATTTTCTTCAATTATTTTTGCTTGGTATAGAAGATCATCTGAAATTGAAGCTGATGAAGTTGGAATGGAATTAGCTGCAAAAGTATATGATCTCTATCTGACATAAATACTCTTGCAAACATAATTTTTATATAAAATTTTTTTTTTTATATTTTTAGAGTTGTATTGATCCTAGAGAAATTTTAGTATTCTGGGAGATTATGAAAGTATTTGAAGAACTTAGTAAAGCAGATAAATTTGAAATACCATTATTTATGCATCATCCTAGCTTAAAGAAAAGAAAGAAAAGAACTATTAAATTAATGCCTAAAATTTTGAAAATAAGAAAACAAGCTAAGGTATTTATAAATTTTGATTATTTGAAACCATAATATATCACGTGAAAAATATACAAGATATTGGAAATCAAAATTAAATATAAATTCTAAATAATTAATTCTATAAGTTAAAACAAATAAAAATTGATATGTTATTGTTATTTATTAAATTATATTTAATAATAATTAAATATAATTTTACATTAAATGAAGCGGAGATATAACGATATGGACTATATGATAGAGATGAAATTATTCTATGTTTGTCTAACACAAATTTTAATTAAAAATTTTGTTTATAATTTAATAAATAAGAAAATTTTTTATACCAACTTTTACTTTTTGTTTTAACTTCTAGAGTCAATTTTCCAAAAATATCCCATATATTAATATCTTGTGTAAAGTTTAAAATTATTTTAGTGTCCTGAAATACCTGAAAAGGATCCTCAAGATAATTTACCACATTATATTAAGGATATCGAAAAATTTGTATTCAAAGATTCAAGAATTTTAGGCATACAGTTATAAATGAAACTATAGATTTTTTTTGTATATCCTTGTAATATGATGATTAGTCTGGTGAAATAAATAATGCATTAGTCACAAATTTTATTATGATGATATATATTTTTTAGCGATAATTTTATCGTTTGTCTTCCTGTAGTTGAATAAAAATTAATGATAGTTTATAATTTTCCTTCGTGAAGCACGTTAAATTTAAATTCGTCATAAAAGTTCAAAAAATGTTTACTAAAGGAATATTTTTTTTTTTTTTGGAAATTGTGTGTGGATATAATATAGACGTAGATTTTCCTATTATTTTTCGTCATGATAATATGTTTAATAATAGTTATTTTGGTTACACGGTACATTTGTATTACGAACCGGATATTGATACATCCTGGTAAATGATTTTTATTTGATATATTAAATAAAATTATTTTTTCCGATTATATTTAAAAATTTTACATATCAATTGTAAAGGTTGATAGTTGGAGCACCAAAAGGAAATTATTCTTGGTCTTCAACAAAAAGATTATCTTATTTGATCGAGCCTGGTATTGTATATCGTTGTGAAATCGAAAATTCACATTTATATCATAGAATTGAAAATCATAAATGTCAAGAAATTAAACCAGAAAAAATTGAAAATGAAAAAGGATACATAACGCAACTCGGAATGATGATGTGGATACGGAAACAATATGGGTGGTTCGGAAGTGCAATTGCAATAGATAGAATAAATGGAATTTTAACAGTAAGAGAAATATATTAGTAACGATTGTATTTTGATAATAAAATTTTGAATGACATTTCAATTTAGGCATGTGCACCACGAACAATTGTGGCACTTTTATATAAATCTTTAGATATTAATTTGGAAACTATGCAAGGGATGTGTTACAGTGGAAAAATTTCTTCGAATACTCTGATAATCGAAGAGAAAGATCTTAAGTTTTATGGTATATGCAATTTAATTAAAATAATAATTGATTTATTGAATAATTATATTATTTAAATCTAGATTTTATGTCAACATTTTGGTACAATCCGATACATGGTTTTTCCGTTCATTATGCATCGACAAAGGTTTGTAAATAAAATTCAAAATATTATTATTTTTTATTATCAAATAAGTAATTTAAAAAAGAATTTAGCAAAATGAAAAAAAAAAAAAGAAGAAAATAAATCGCATCATAGGAGAGCCAAAACATGAAGATTATGGAACTGTGGATATACAATATTCAAATAAAAGAATGACCGTGGAATTACCATTAAATGACGATTTATCCCAATTTGGTATGTTCTTTATAATACCAAATTAATTCTTATTTTTAATATGCAATAAAATATTTATAGGATACAGCGTTGAATCTGGTTATTTCTTTAAAAAGGATCAATTATTATTCGCAAGTGGAGCACCAGGTTGGAAGTATAAAGGCTTGGTATAACAATACCTCGAAATGTATGATAATTAAAAAAAGATTTTCGATGAACAAATTTTTTCTAGGTCGGAATAATTAATCCAGCATCGAATATATCAATCATCACGAAATTATATGGTACTCATATTGGCGAATATTTTGGAGCCAGTTTGGCTGTAGGAGATTTAAATAGAGATGGTTTGGATGATCTTCTTATTGGAGCACCCTATTGGGAAGAAGATACTGGTAGAGTATATATATATTTTGGTACATCCAAGGTAAGAAATATTTTTTAAATTTAAAAAAAAAATATTGTAATAATTATATTAATTAGACAATGAATTCAAAATATCAAATATTTTTTATATTGCATTATCCGGCAAATATATATTTTGTATATATTTTTAATATTTTTTTTTAGGAACAGTTTGAAATAGCTGTGATTTTACATGGAGTTACAGAAGGAGGACATTTTGGATACGCCATAGCTAGTGGTGATTTAGATGCTGATGGATTTGATGGTAATAAATTTATTTATATTTATATATATTTTAGATTTTTACAGAATTAATTTTTTATAGATGTTATTGTGGGAACACCTTGGGAAGATGATGGAGTTATTTATGTGTTTAATGGGACTCCAGATTTAAAAAATATGAATTTACAAAAATCGCAACGAATCGAAGCTGTAAAATTATTTAAATATAATTCTTCACAAAGAATACTTCGATTTGGATTTTCAATATCAAAACCGATTGATATTGATAGAAACGGGTTAGAATTTATTTTGTAAATATCATCACAATCAACTATATATTTATTAATTTTCTACGTGATATATAGATATTTGGATATCGCAATTGGAGCATATAAATCAGAGCATGCTATTATATTACGTAGCAAACCAATATGGAAAACAGAACTTTTCATTGAAACTATACCTAATATTTTGCAAAGAGATGCTAAACAATTTTTAGTCAGAATATGTCCACGATACAATATGTATGGCATGTTACACGATATTGTCACAGATAGTAAGATGTTATACAATATGTTTTAAGATTAAATTTATTACATTTTTCAATGAAATATTTTTTTCTAGCTATAAAATTTAAGATTACAGCCATTATAGACGAACGTTACCAGCGAACTAAAGAAACAATTTTAGAAATGAAATCTTCTAATTTAAGTATTTGTTTATCTAGTAAAGTTAATATTTTGGTAACATTCAATATATTTTATATTATTTTATTATATTTTATTATATTTTATATTAATTTTATTATATCATGTTAATGTAATGTTTTTTTAGAAAGATATACGAGATTTTATCGAGCCTATTAGTATAATTGCAAAACATGATTTTTTACACGATAACGTATCAAATGAATTTTGTAAATTTTGTCCTGTTGAAAAACACAATAAGATACAAAATATAAAAGTTTTACTTCCTTTTAATATTGGTTGTGGGGAAGACAAAATCTGTAATTCTAATATATCTGTTACTGCAAAATTTTATAATGTAAGATATAACAATATGTGGATAATTGGTTCAAACGACATAAGTTTAAAAATTAATTTAAAAAATTATGGAGAACCTGCATATCTTACCACACTCGAATTTAAATTCCCCGAGAGAGTAATATTACGTAGTATTTTACCCTTTTGTCAAGAAGACATTTCTAAAGAGAATTTAATAGTAATTTGTGATATAGGAAATCCTATTTGGAAAGAAGAAGAGGTAAAAATTTTTAGAGTAAAATTTCAGAGATCATATTATTATATATGTTAAATATTTATTTTTTATTTATAATATAGAAAAATGTCAAATTAGATTTGGATATGAGATATTTAATTAATGGATCATTATATGATCATAAATTATATTTTTATATAACAATAAAGACTCGTAGTATAAATCATGGAATGACGAGTATAACTAAAACTCTTAATTTAGTAAACGAAGTTTCTCTATCTTTACATGGGTTTGTATTATTTAGATATTAAATAATAACGTGCATTTATTTTCTATACTAATTTTATTTTTTAGAAAAGCAAATGAAGAAGCCTATTATCTAACTTTAAACGAAATTGCTCAAAATGTTACTTTTCAACATACTTATCAAGTATATAAACTTGGAGCATCACCAATAGAAATTGCGCAATTGATTGTTAAAATACCATTAGCTTTTAAAGATTTACATTTGATATACATGTATAAATCTCAAGTAAGAATTTATATATTCACTTTTATAAATATAAAATATTAATATATGTACATTTTTAGTTATACATATCAGGAGAACTTTTTGAATGTTCATCAGAGACTAATTTATTGGATATTCAAGAAGAATCATCTTTAAATCAATTTGATATATCTCTGTTTTCCAATAAAATACGACAAAATAATAATCATATAATAAATGAAAAAGATCAATTTAATTCAATAGAAGAATCAGCTTTATATTTAAATAACATGAATATTAATGCTTCAAAAATATTAAATGAAAATTGGACAAATGATATTATTTACATGAATTGTTCAACTCCTTATATAAATTGTATAACTATTGTATGTGATTTAAATAAACTGAAAACATTACAAGATATTGGAAAAATGACAATTAAACTTTTTTTAAATGTTGATAAACTTAAAGGTAATCAGTCACTATTTAATTAAATATTGTAAAACATGATCATATTTTATTTATTTATATTTTTTTAAATATTTTAAGATATCTTTAGAAACAATAGAGCTATTTTAAAATATGTTACTGAGGTGAGCGCAGAAATAATAAAACCTGATAAGATGTTGTATATCAATGGAACTCGGTAAATTTTTATATTATATTTGGCATTTATATTTATTATATTATTTATATTTAATATATTTGTTAGAAATAATTTGAAAATTACATTATAGATCTACAATGGAAATTGTGACATTATTTTACAATATCCCAAAAATGGAAAAGTTACAGCCATGGATTGTTCTTATCTCTATTTTAATAGGAATATTATTATTATTTATTTTTGCTGCGATTTTAGGAACGGTAAGATTTTTATTTTTTGAACATTATTATAATATGTTTCAATATAATATTTTTCAGTTGGGTTTCTTTAAACGAAAAAAAAAACAAACTTTAACAAATCAGGAATGTAATGAAGTAAGTATTCTATATTTTATAAAAATAAAATAAATTTTAACTAATGTCTTATTAATTTTATTCAAATTTTAACTAATCTTATTCTTAATCTATATATATAATCTTATAGGTGATAGGAAATGAAACTGCGATTACAATTAACCCTGAAAACACGTGATATAACGAGTAAAAAGAATTTAAAAAATATTTAAATATATCGAATATTACGCGTATATTCTGTAAAAAGAAAATTATATTTAATAAACTTTTAATATTTATTTACATTATATTCATTATCTCCGATGAAAAACGCCCATATATGTATACAAATTTCTATTTTTATTAATTATATCTTATTGTACTTTCAATTCGTACATTGTATTCAAACATCTTAACTTGACAAAAACATATAATGTAAAAACATATCTTAAACATGTACATCAATCATGTAGCTATTTACATTTTCTTTTAATTACAAACGAAAAAATAAACGCAATAATTTGCATTGCATTATAACAATATCCAGTGGATTAATTTCCCATTCCTCGCAACAATAGTAAAAAATTATTTCTTTTACTTTTTCTTTTTTTTCTTAAGAGATATTTCTTTTATATAATAAATCAAAAATTATTAGTAATATAATAGAATGAATTTCTCTCTCTTTTTTTCGAAAAACTATTAATACAAAATATTTTCGTAATCTTAATAACATTTTTACAGAATGTGAGCATAAATTATTATCTTGATAATAATCAATTATTCCTATTTTATAAATTTTTAATGACGATCTGTTACATAGTAAAAAAAATTCAAATTCTGTTAAACAAACTTTGTTATATTGAATATATTTTGTTTCATTGTTTAGTTTCATATTCATACTCAGATCAGTTCCATTTGTCGGTTGTGTTCTTTGAAAAGACACAAAATGAAGGGGCGGTTATAGCTTTTGCTTGATCGCCATTAGCATCGCCCAAAATTTTTTTGTGGTTTTAATCCGCAAGAGCAACTAATACGGTCGAGTAAAATTCGCCTTTCTTCCGATGTTAATGTTGTTTGTTAACATTTATGTGGACATTATAATTATTTGTCGTAGCATATTTCGTCGCACATCGACAGGCTTCGACAAGGAAGGGGATCAAACTTGTTTGTTAGATTCCCAATTCCAGATGATGTCCACCAGAACTATTGTCCCTTGTTCTTTTTATCTTCCCTTCTCAAAGGCAAGTCGACCATTTTCAAAAATAAATAAATTGAACAAGATATGAAGTATAATTATTTTTGTTCTCTGGATATGCATAGTGTAATAAGATAATATTGTTTTCTTAGAAGCGCACTATTTATGAATACCAATACATAATTTATACTCACAAGCTGTAGATTATCTGTTAAAGTGATTTACACAATTTAATGAAATTACATAACGAAGAAGGCGAATAATAACAATATATTCATGTATATAATTCGCGAGAATTCGTGTAACATGATATACCAATTTTCAAAATGACATTTGAAGCTGGCTGATTCGTGTTCTGTTTATTATCAATTAAATTCGCTTGAAAATATTTTATTATAATTTCAATACCAAATTTATAAAAAAAAAATTCATTGTATTGTAGATTCTTTTATATTGTAGATAATGAATATTTTCTTTATTTTAAATATTAAAAAAATTATATAAAATTTGATAATAAATACAATCAACCAGCATGATACGAAGTGAGATATGACCTTTTTAAGATCATAAGTTTTTTCTTTAAATTGTTATTTTATAAAGTTTAATGTAAACTAGTTTGTATCAAGTACATAATGATGTTCATTTTATCTGAGATAATATAATTAAAGAAAGGCACAAACATTCTGTTTTCTAACAATTATACAGTAATGTAGACTCATCTATTTAAAAGCATTACAGCACAATCTTGCACACATTCTAGAATGAAACAAATATATTATTACATATAGATTATTCAAATCATGATATTAAATAAACATCACTATGTACATATGAAATATAATCGAACTAGTAGTACGAAAAGTTTAAACATTATTTGTGTCTCTTATATTGAACTTAATATACTCGATTTTCATATTCTGATGCAAAAATGAATATCTAAGAATATATTTGTTATAAATAATTATGAGAAATAAAAATTCGGAGCATTTTATCTTCGAGATTTTATCACAACTGGCACGAAAATTGAAATATACAGAAAGTAAAAATTAATCGCATCGTATTAATATTTAATATTATTTTTCCCGGGAATATTAAACTTAAAAATCATCGCATTAAATCTTAACTTACAAGAGATAATTACTTGCAAAATTAAATCCATGTTTGGACATCTTATTCGTTAATGATAAAAATATTCATTTTTTGACACAAAAAGAAGTTTGTTGTTAAATACAATACCATGTAAAATAAATCATTGGAATTATTTTATATTCTACAACAATCTTCTTTTTGTCTTTTGTAAATATACGTATCCATAAAGTAATTTAAGACAATTATATATATGTATATATATATATATATATGTATATATGTATATATATATATATATATATAAAGAAAAAAAAGAAAAAAAAAGAAAAGAAAAGGAACAAAAAAGGATACTTATGTCAATTTGCAATATATGACAAACATTGTTCGTTAAAATTAATTTTTTTGTTTTAATAGAAGGAAAAAAAAATTAAAATAAAATCTGCATATCTATTCAAATTACAATATAAGACTGTATGTTTTGTAAATACATGCAGTAGAAAAAAATAATTGAAATTTCTATGAATCTTACTTTTTTCCACATGTTATTTATCCACATCTTATTTGTTAAATGCTTCTGCTGGTATTTGTCCTCGCTTGTAGAATTCTTGAAACGCTGAGAGCGCATTGTCATAATTCCATAACACTTCTTCTAAGCACTTTAAACTCCATTCTAAATTCATGTTTGTTTGTTGGCTAAGTGTCATCGTCATTTGTTGTTTTACGTCTTCAGGTAACTGTACTGACAAAGATTTTGCAGTGCCACTACTCGAAGGAGTATGTGATCCTGGATTTGTTATTTGTGTCTCTGAATTCTGATTATTCAATTGTCTTAACTGTGCATCTGTGGGTTGACTGATATGTAATTGCTCATTTCGAATACAATAACCACTTCCTTCCGGTACTATTATAAAGGTTCGATTAAAATAACGAATAGGTTGCTCTTTTTTATCGAGTTCTTTAAATAGTCCTGTGACTGTAGTTAACATCATTCCATCCTAAAATATAAAATTATGTATAAAATAACAAAAAACTTGCAAATTTTATTTTTGTAGAGAAAATAAAATCTTACTGTAATTAGACTGATGTCCATTGTGAATGTGTTTAGGTAGTGAGAAGTTTGTGGCATTTCAGAAATAAATGAAACTATCGGCAAACGTCCCTGTTTCAATAACTTCTGTCTTTTGTTTGTATCATTTATTCTATACAAGTTTCTATTTTCCATTAGATATCCATTCAATCTGCAATATCCCATTTATTAATAAAATATATTTGTTTCTAAGATAATATATATATATATATAAACGTACTTATTAGTACTATGAGTGTAAGACATAGTCATACTAAAATACGCATGTTCGACATACGCATCTAACAATGGTTGACGATTCTCACTATCGAAAATGAGAAAATATTGTTGCAAAAATTGACTAGCAATTTCTTGCGCTTTTGCATTTGCAACAAACATTCTCTGAGAGGGAGGCATTTTGTTTCCTTCATCCGCTACGTCGAATAATATTGGTTTTGGAAGTTCCATACCATCCTAAATAAAATATTAAACGTAGTTGTTCTGAATTTTTCACAAATTAATATAATTAATATAATTATTAATAATTACATACCAGTCGCAGGAGTTTGGGAAACCGTTTCCGAACGTCGCTGTGGTCAGGAAAGAAAAGCCAGAAGCCCGGAAGCTCCAAGTTAATCGTAATAACAGAAATATTTGCCTTATTATTGAAAAGTAAAATAAAGGAAGAAATAGGGATCATTTAGAATGTAATACCAATTTTCTCATCTTATAACTTATTGAAAATAATTAAGAATGTATATAAATCAGCTATTTTCATGAAATTGGTAAGATATTTCCTATATTGTTAAAATAAATAACGTTTTCTTATACATATTTTTATTGCTTTTTAATTTCAAACATATTTTTGATTCATATTTAAAATTTATAATAGGTAAATATGGATTTTTAAGCTTATGCAATAATTGTTATTAAATCTTTTTGTTTGATCTTATGATTTTGCTATTTTTATCTAATAATAATTAAATCTAATTTTTGGAAACATAAAATAAAAAAATTTCATTTTAAATTTTCTTTGATATGTTTAATTAATATTATCTATTTTTATTAATTAGTATTATCAATAAATATGTATAGAATAGATATACTATTTTTATCTATGCATTGTCTATCTATATCTATATCTATATCTATAGACAAAATAAATAATATTATAATCTAAATATAAATTAAATTCTAAAAAAATATATGGGATTATAATTTCAAAAAGCATTAGTCAACATAAAAAAGAATGATAGTCATACTTCACATTTAATATATTATAAAATCGTTATAAATTCAGTTATAGTAATTTTGATTATCAAAAGATTACTTTATATTTTATTTTATTATTTTATTTCCATAAAATAATGAATATATACAATCTAAATTTATATTTAAATTTGATAAATTGGAATTTAATAGAAAATTTAGGCTAAAAATATTTAGTAATAAAGGTATTATTTATCTTATTAAAAATATATATGTAAAGTTTATATTTTTTATGTAACTTGAAAATTAAATTTAAGCAACAATCATATGTATCAGAAAAAATTATTTAAAATGATGACATATTTCAAGGCTACCAAAATCAGACGAGATATATCTCATCTTATTTCTGAACAATTATTAATACATCTCTTATTTAATAGTTAATCTAATTAATATTTTGATTAATGAAATAATTTGACTTTTTTCATTTTATAATACAATATTTTAGTTATTAGCATCACAATATCTATTATTTTTGATAATCCAACTCAAACCTGAAGAATCCCATCATTGTAAAAAAGATCATACATTACCTAATGTAGTCATTTTGTCGAGATTTATACTTGTTGCATACAGGATTTCCTTCTA